ACACCATGTCCCCATGTGGGGCAGCCCAGGAAAGGGGTTTGGAAAGGATTTGGGCTTTCATCAGATGATTCTGGTGGATGTTCCAAGAAGCAGAGTTTGCTCTGTACTGGATGCTGTCAGGAAAAAGATAATTCTATGATTGGTATCTTAATCAATGTTATCTAGAAGGAGGGAGAAATGAAATGAAGCTCAGCTGTAATTGGCACAGCAGCAGTGACCCGCATTAGCCAGAATAGGTGGACGCTTGGTTATTTTTGTGACTTGAAACACATTCATGTTTTGGTCTGTGCTCAGACATGACTCTAGAGTGGTCTTATTTTTGCCTTGAACCATTACATTCAGAGTGGCTTTATCTGATGTTGATGTCCTGTGAAATTGCTTATGTTCAACAGGAGAACAACACCTGTGAGGTCAGGCCAGCTCCTGGAAACACCAAAGCCTGGGGGTTCCAGGCCAGTTCCTGGCTATCAGAAGTTACTTTTTCTCTTCCTCAATCCCCCTCTTTGGTCAAGGGCAGGTGAAATCAGCCCACAGAATCCATGACATGCAGATTTCAACCACCGTCAAGACCAGGAGGATGTCCAGGAAGCATGGTCTGTAGTTGGGCTAGAGCTAATCCCTCCTCCTGTTGCAGGATGAGCTGTTGAGACCTTTGACTTGACAATGGGTACAGAGCAGCATTTCAGATTTTGGACAGTGTATATCAACCAACTGTACCACAGGCCATTATTGGAAACAAAAGGATGATGAATCTTATGAAGGGTCTTAATGACAGGATCCCAGATTATAAAACCCACGTGAAGAAACATGTCCCAGAGTCCAGATGGGTCTTTCAGGGAGACAGATGGGTTTTTGTTTGTCCTAATATTTGCTGTTTTGCTTGCCCAGTAATGTGTAAGTGCAGCAAGAAACGTTTGTGATAGTATCAACTCCTCCTTGGCTAGCTGACAGAAAATCATGGTGTTCAATGGGCCTCAAGATTCCTAGGTCCTGTCATAACAATCTTATCAGGATTATGTCACTGGCAGGTAGGACACACACTGGAAACATCCTCAGCAATATCCTTAAATTACCCTATCAACTTTGGTTCAATACTTCTGACAATTGTTCTCTGCTATTGTGGGTAATATCACAAAATAGTTTTGCTAATTTCCATTTTTATTATGGCTACCTCCTTCCATAATAGCAAAGCGTGTCAGGATTCTTTAATTTTCAATTCTACAGGGGTTCCTGTAGTAATCAGGTGATATTTTTGTTGCTGTTTCTAAAGCACTGCAAAGTCATTCCCCCACATCAAATACCTCCTGTTGTATCAACATATTTACTTTTGTAGCTTGGCAGATCTGGGAGGGAACAATTAATTTAGCCCAACTAAATGAATACAATTTCTTAGAAAAGCTTTGACTATGATAATATAGCCTGAAAAGCTATTTTTTTTTTTTTTTTTTTTTTTTTTTTTTTTTTTTTTTAGTGGAGTCTGTCTGCCAGGCTGTAGTGCAGTGGTGCAATCATAGCTCGCTGTAGCCTTGAACTCTCAGGCTGAAGCAATCTTCCCATCTGTCTCCTGAGCAGCTGGGACTGCAGGCATGTGCCACCACACCCAGTTAAGTTAAAAAAATTTTGTTTGTTTTAGATGTGGGGTCTCTTTATGTTGCCCAGGCTGGTCTCAAACTCCTGGCCTCAAGCCATCTCCCTGCCTCAGTCTCCCAAGTTGCTGGGGTTACAGGCGTGAGCCACCATGCCTGACTATACTTGACAATTTTTAGTTTCACTTTTTAAGTGTAAATAATCTACAACCACAATTAAATCAGTTCTTTAAGGGAATCTTGTGCAGGGTATGGATAGTTCCCTAAGAGGGATAAGTTGCTGCTTTTTTGGGTGAAGGAAGAAAGTGGCTGGTTTTAGAGTGTTGCAATATAGCAAAGCAACAACAATTCATGAGAGACTAGGTAAATGGCTGAAAAGTGCTGAGAGTTTATTGTCATTAGAAGACTCTGTACAGCACAGCATGGGAAGCCATCAAGTTTAGTGGAAACCCTGGAACTAAATCAACTGAAGTTTTTGCTTTTGTTGCTGCTGCCATAGTTCTCAGATGAGGTGAATATGTCTTGGCTATTGGATCTTGTGAATTAAGCAATGGACCCTGGTGATTTCCACTTAGTTGAATCAGTACGTTAGTGCCTGGTCAGCTTTATAATAAAAAGAAAAGACATATGGACGACATGTGAATCTAGAATAATGGAAATAATCTTTTGAGAGTCAGTTATTGTACCACTCTTTTTTAATATTTCTCTTTTTTTTTGAGACAGGACTTGGCCCTGTTGCCCAGGCTGGAGTGCAGTGGTGCAGTCATAGCTCACCACAGCCTCAAACTTCCAGACTCAAGCGATCCTTCTATCTTGGCATCCCAAAGCACTAGGAATACAGGAATGGGAGTGGGGCAGGGGAGGGGGGCGCAATTCCCTGCTGTTTATATTATCTTTAAAGTGATCAACAAATTTTCTTTTTCTCAGATAATAAAGAAAACTAGAGAACAGGAAATGAATTGTTTATTTTTCTTCTTGAGCACTTATTTCATGTCTTTTTAATAATTTTGAGGCAAAAAATGAACAGAAATAATATCCAAATACATTTTCATAGTTCGTTAATTGATTACCATTCTAACACATAAAGGTAAGAATTTTAGTGACCAGTGTTTTGTATCTGACTCTTATTTTAGAATTTCCAGTCTTCCAAAGATTCCTTATTAATTATTTACCTCAGGTCTTAATTGAGAGAAAAAATTTGATGTAGAAAAGCAGATTTTGATAGATATACATGAAGAGAGGCAAATGGTTCAGATGGTAATTTGGACACTTGAAAATTTTAACAAGCTGTATGATAAAAAAGCCAGCACTTATTAATCCTCAAAGTATGGAAAGGAAGGAAGGGATATTACCTATGTTAAGCAAAACTATCTCAGTTTGGGAAAAACAAGACAATCTCCTCATGGAGGTTTCTTTGCTTTTTAAGGTACCTCCCAAAGAAGCAATCTTGTTCATGTCAAAAGCTCCCTAAAATGGCCTGTGCAACTCCAAATTGTCCTTAGTGAAACTGTGCCAGTTAGATAATAGGCATACAAGTTAGTATTCTTAGGAAAAAAAAAAAAATGAAGAAAACAGGCATTTGGGCTGAAACAGGCACAATTTTAGATTGAGGAGAACCTAAGAGAATTGCAGTGGTCCCTAAGGGTAGTGTTTGAGTAACTTGTATTGTTGGGCTTGACCAAAGGCCATGGTCACCACCAGATCCCAGGCAAAACCTCCTTAAAGAAGACAGGTGACAATAAACAAAGCAATATTCAGAGACACAAAGTCAAAATTGAGAAATACACCTTTATAAGGTTTTGAAATGATGATATGAGGCAAATGAATGCCAATCTGAAGAAACTTTCTAAACTACACAGTCACTATGATAAGCTCTAGGATCAATTTATCAGGCTTGGCTGGCTGACTTTAAGGAGGCCTCCATGAGCCCTGCCTCCTGGTGGTCACAACTTTGTGTAATTCCTCCCTTCCTTGAGTGTAGGTACGAACTTCAACTTGTTCTTAATGAATGGAATGCAAAAAGGGTGATGCGAGATACATGATTGCATTTATGTGATAACCTAAGAGTGCAGTGCCCATCTTGCTAGTCTCTCTCCAATGCCGGTTTTGAAGAAGCAACTTGCCATGAATCCTACATATAGGGGTAGGATTCACCCACACACCCCGACCCAGCGATGGATGAACAAATTCACTCAAACACAAATCTCCAGTGAAAGAGTGGGCTAGGGCCATCTGTGGCCACTCACTGACACTCCTGAGAGAGATAGCAGCCACAGCCCAACCAGGCATTTATTCAGTATAGATTTAACAACAGAGGCTCTGAGTCAACACACTTGTGGATACTAGTTAAAGGCCAGGTTCCGAGGCCTAAAGCAAACACCTTTTGAGGGTAATAAACTTCTGCCAACCCCCAAGTAGGAGGCAGTGAAGTGTGGATGGGCAAAGATTGGTCTTAGGACAACAAGCCATTTAGATAAATTCCTTTGTGTTCTCCTGTTAACTGCCCTATGCTTCAAGTCTCAAGATAAAAGAACTAGCTGCCTTCAGCCCATTCTTTCCTGGTTTTACAAAACATTCTGGTCTTCCAAGGTTTGCGATTATTTTATAATGTTTTAGTTTTGCCAACAACCCTGATCAATCCCCCATACCTACAGCCATAAGGAAAGAAATTCTGCCAACAACCTGAGAGTGCTTGGGAGTAGATCCTTTACCTGTCAAGGATATGATGCGCACCTGGCCTGGGCAGACATGTTTTCCAGCACTGAGATCCTAAGCAGACTACCCAGCTAAAGCCATGCCCAGACTTCTGACCCACAGACATTGTGAGACAGTAAGTGTGTGTTGTTTTAAGCAGCTAAGTTTGTGGTAATTTGTTCTGCAGCAATAGAAAACTAACGCCACTGGCTTATGCCCATATTCTCACAAAAGACTTTTCTTCTTGTAGACAATTTCATTTCTAAATACTCAACTTTAGATCCCCTCTTCTAGCTATGGGCTGTTGAGGTTAAAATGTTACTCAAACTTTTCTTACTATTTGAATAAAAATTGACTATGGTATTTTCCCCAATTTACGCAATGTTAATATTAGTACAGTAAGGCTAGGCATGGTGGCTCATACATTTATTCCCAGCACTTCGGGAAGCTGAGGCAGGAGAATCATTTGAGATTAGGAGTGCTAGATCAGCATGGGCAACACAGCAAGACTTTGCCTCTACAAAAAAATTTAAAAAGTACTACCTGGGAGTGGTGACATGCACCTGTAGTCCTAGCCACACAGGAGCCTTAGGTGGGAGGATCACTTGAGCCTAAGCTTACAGTGAGCTGTGACCACACCACTGCCCTCCAGCCTGGGTGACAGAGTGAAACCCTGTCTCCAAAGGGAAAAAAAAGTAAGCGCAGTAAAAGAGATGGCACTAAATTAGCAGAGGCTGCTTTTATTTACACAGACGTCTTCAACCCCACATAGGCAAGGACACCGTATGTTGTGGCATACAGGTTTCTTTCCAACTAGACTGAGCTCTTAGAAGTTAGTGTCCTTTGGCTTTATATCCCCTCCAGGCCTTACACATGCTGGATATTCAATAACTATGGAATTAAAACCACAATTGCCTTTAAGCTTATTTATTAATGGGATCTGGTTTCACTTCAGGTGCTACTTCCATTTTGATGCAATGATCAAAACCATTAAGATCTATGACAGGATGGATATTGGGACAATAAGCATGACAATGTCATTGTTGCCAAGCCAAATTTTATAAGAGGCAAAGGAAAGCAAAGGATGACTAGAATGCAGAGGTCCTTCATCATCTTCTTCAATTAGCTGTCACAGGATTTCCCACTATTAAACCTCCCTTACAATTCTTACTTCTCCCCACCTCCAGGTATCTGAAATAAACAAAAAAAGGAAATAAAATAATTCTCCCTGAGATTTCTGCCTCCTTCTTTTTTCTTTTCAATAGCAACCTCAACTGTTGACAGAGGTTCCTTAGGATCCAAAGAACAATTTTGAAGCTGAAAACAGAATAGTCTGTTTTTGAATAAATCCTAATATATTTTCATTTCATACCCTTGTTCCATGAGGAAAAAATTTACATAGAGATGAATATGTTTTGTTCAGGCAGTGTGCAATAATAAAGATTAGGCCAAATTAGATTTATCGTTAGAAAATAAATGCTCGTTGTGGTATTAAATTTAGGGATAAAATGAACCCATATTCACATACATACTTATAGACATTAAAACACAAAACAGATAATCTAGCTGGCATCCAGTGTTTCTCAACTTTGGCTGAATCTCTGTTCACTAGAACAGACTATAAGTTCCAAAAGGTGGGGACCATGTTTTGGTCAGCTTTGCATTTCTTCAACACATAGCACAGTGTTTATGTAAAGAGTCACTCACAGAAATTGTTGAATTCACTTAAAAAAAACAATTTTGGTTGAGTACAGTGGCTCATGCCTGTAATCCCAGCACTTTGGGAGGCTGAGGCAGGAGGATGGCTTGAACCCAGGAGTTTGAGACCAGCTCGTGCAACACAATGAGTCCCTGTCTATAAAAAAACTTTTAAAAATTAGCTGGGTGTGGCGGCACACTGCCTGTAGTCCCAGCTACTCTGGAGGCCGAGGTGGGAGGATCACTTGAGCCTGGGAGGTCGAGGCTGCAGTGAACTGAAATCATGCCACTGTATTCCAGTTTGGGTGAGAGAGCAAGACCCTGTCTCAAAAACAACAGCACCACCACAATTTTTATAAAATAGTTAATGATGCTTGCTAAGGTGGCAGTAGACCCGAAGCTAGTTGTTCAAACAATGCCATTCTTACCAGTTTTGGAGTGAAAAAGTGAAAGGGAAAGGGCAGAGAATTAAACCAAATTACACTAAAATCTCCAAGTCTGTAGTAAAAAAGAATTGTAGCAGGTTTAGTCAGTGAAAATGGTTTTTAAAACACATTTTAATGAAAACACTTTCTCACTATCTTTAAATAAAAACAATTTGGATTTTACAATTGGAAGCTGGTCAGGCACTAGGCCTCATCTGCTTTCTGCTCCACAGGTTTCAGATGCCATTGCACTACTAATTCCCCAGTGCTTTTGAGGCATGTGTTAGACATGTTCTCCTCTGTTGGAAGTCCTTGTGGCAACTTCAAGGGCTTGATTCTGTGACACAAGAAAATGTGTTTAGATAGGAGGAATAAGTTCTAGTGTTCTATACCCTGCAAGATAACTATAGTTAACAATAACACATAGTTTCAAATAGCTAGAAGGAGGAAACTGAACGCTCCCAACACGAAGAAATGATAATGTCTGAGATGATGGATATGCCAATTACCCTGATTGGATCACTGTACTTTATTATATATTGAAACGTCACTATGCACCCCATAAATATGTAAGATTATTACCTGTCAATTAAAAAACCAAAATTTTAGTTTTTTAAAAAGTTTTTGGCCGGGAATCTCAGCACTTTGGAAGGCTGAGGTGGGTGGATCACCAGAGGTCAGGAGTTCGAGACCAGCCTGACCAACATGGTGAAACCCCGTCTCTACTAAAAATACAAAAAATTAGCTGGGCATGGTGGCAGGGGCCTGTAATCCCGGCTAGTTGGGAGGCTGAGGCAGGAGAATGACTTGAACCCAGGAGGCAGAGGTTGCAGTGAGCTGAGATCACACCACTGCACTCCAGCCTCAGCAACAGAGCAACACTCTGTCTCAAAAAAAAAAAAAAAAAAAAAAAGAATTACACAAGGCAATACATTTTAAAAACAGCTAAGAAGAAACAACAAACCTTATCAAATGCTTAACCACTTTCAATTTTGCATTCACTGAAGGGATATTCTTGTGAACTTGAGGGGTATGTGCCTGTGAACAACAACAACAAATCAATGTGAAAAGCACATAGTTCTATGTTTCAGTAAAATGTTAAATTGAAGGCTCATTCTAAGTCAAATTTATGTTACCTTAAGTAATATACAAGAAATATTATCTTAAAGTTTTAAAAGTATAAAATTTAAAGCAAATGTAAACAACATTAAAGATAATTAAAATAATTGCATACTTTTTCTAATTTAAGCATCTTTATTATATCTTTTTCCCAATATGGACGTCTTCTTGTACTTTTTATTCTGGTAACAATATGCAGTTTATGAGGGTTCTGTGGATCCCCACCATATTTTTCATGATCTTCAGGTGAGGCCTGAAACACCTAGAAAGGAAGAATTATAAATGGTGAATTTTCAACTTACACAGTTTCTATGTACCGCCCATTTTTTCTTAAAAGACGCATACACATACACAACTACATAATTATCTCATCCTTAATCATTATGTAATCCTCAACCTCAAATAGAACATTTCTATCAGTTTGATTATTCAGATAGACGGAGTTTAACCTGTAGAACAAAGATGACATTAAATAATGTAAACGCCAGGAGAATCTGTAAGCACTGCTGTGAGCTGGGCACTGGGTTACATCTTCTTCCCTCCCTATTCTCAGGTGAAGGGCTGACTGTCAAATGGGAGAACAAATGTAAGTTAAAAATGAAAATAAAACATAAGTATTATAAAAAGAATCTGCAAAGTATTATGAGAATACAAATGACTAATGAACTCTGCCTATGATGTATGAGAAATAGTGCCACAGAGCAAATATTTGAATTAATTATCTAAGAATCAAAAGGTACTAAGAAGCTATCCCACAGAAACACTCCTCTAAGTATACAAAATGTACCAAATAAGGATGTGTATTGTAATACTATTTGTAATACTAAAAAATTTAAAGGCAACTCATGCTCCTCACTAGGATAACTACATTATGGTGCCTCCATTCTAAATAAAACGATTAATAATAAAAATAAGTAAAATGATGCAAATACGCAAATTCTTTTTTTTTTTTTTTTTTGAGACGGAGTCTCACTTTGTGGCACAGGCTGGAGTGCAATGGTGCAATCTTGGCTCACTGCAACCTCTGCCTCCCAGGTTCAAGTGATTCTCTTGCCTCAGCCTCCCGAGTGGCTGGGATTACAGGCACATGCCACCATGCCCAGCTAATTTTTGTATTTTTAGTGCAGACAGGATTTCACCATGTTGGCCAGGCTGGTCTCAAACTCCTGACCTCAAGTGATCCACCTGCCTCGGCCTCCCAAAGTGCTGGGATTACAGGCGTGAGCCACCACACCTGGTGCAAATACACAAATTCTAATGTATCCTACAGGATACAATATTACCATTAAAATGAATGAGGTTTTATTATTTTTGCAGGTCCTCACATTGAATGATGGCCATAATATATTCTTAGGCAAAAAACAAAAAGAAATGTCCACACAATTATGTGTTGTAAGACGTTATGTGCATCTGTACAAAATATGTGAGTGTGCATATGTAATATATTCTATAAATACTGCTTCTAAGACTCACATTAGATCGAGTCACATCTGAGGAATCAGATTGAGAAAAAAAATTGACCCCCCAAAAGATGGTATTTTTAATAAAAAAGAATGTTATTCAAAGATTAAAAATAGTATTGTAGAAATGTATACAGTGTAAAAGTGTTCCTATTTCTCCACAGCCTCATCAGCATCTATTGTTTCTTGACTTTTTAATAATCACCATTCTCACTGGCATGAGATGGTATCTCATTGTGGTTTTGATTTGCATTTGTCTAATGATCAGTGATGATGAGCTTTTTTTCATGTTTGTTGGCCACATAAACACTTCTCTTTTGAGAAGTGTCTGTTCATATCCTTTGCTCATTTTTTGATAGGGTTTTTTTTTTCTTGTAAATTTGTTTAAGTTCCTTGTAGATTCTGGATATTAGACCTTTGTCAGATGAGCAGACTGCAAAATTTTTCTCCCATTCTGTAGGTTGCCTGTTCGCTCTGATGCTAGTTTTCTTTTGCTGTGCAGAAGCTCTTTAGTTTAAGCAGATCCCATTTGTCAATTTTGGCTCTTGTTGCAATTGCTTTTGGTATTTTAGTCATGAAGTCTTTGCCCATGCCTATATCCTGAACGGTATTGCCTATGTTTTCTTCTAAGGTTTTTATCATTTTACACTGTTGGTGGGAATGTAAATTAGTTTTGCTTGTTTATATTTTTCTAGGGATTTGGAAGAGATTAGGATGAGAAGGATGGTGGAGATCGGAGGAAGGGGTAAGTGCATTAAAGAATGGTGAGACTATTTAAAGGAACAATAGGAAAGAACACAAAATATTTTGGAAAAGCAAGTGGTTCAGGGTAGCTAATATAGAAAAAAGCATGAAAAGTCACGAGGGAATCAAGTTAAACTATGCACAACTATGTTGAGCCTTTACAATGACTTGAAAAATAAAAATATTTCATTTTGTTTTGAGACAGGGTCTCACTGTGTTGCCCAGGCTGGAGTGCACCAGTGTGACCATGGCTCACTACAGCCTTGACCTCTTGGGCTAAAGTGATCCTCTCATCTCAGACCCCTGAGAAGATGGGACTACAGGCATGCACCAGCACACCTAGCTAATTAAAAAAAATTTTTTTGTAGATATGGAGTCATACTATGCTGCCCAGGCTGGTCCTGAATTCCTGGACTCAAACAATCCTCCAGTCCCAGCCTCCTAAAGTGCTAGCAATACAGGCATGAGCCATTGTACCTGGATGAGATTTCTGATAAAAGAACACCAACCACATTAAAGGTATCAAAGTAGTCAATGGTAATACTGTTTTATCTTTTAAGAAAATCAATGGAGAATGATAGTCCCCAAGAGCTAGGGAGAGGGGAAAATGGGGATCTTGCTCTGTTGCCCAGACTGGAGGGCAGTGGCGAAATTATAGGTCACTACAGCTTTAACCACCTGACATTCAGCAGTCCTCCCCACTCAGCCTCCTGAGTAGCTAGGACTACAGGTGTGAACCACAACACCCACCTAATTTTTTTTTAGACTGGGTCTCCCTATGTTCTCTAGGTTGGCAATTATTATTTAGTGGATATAGAGTTTCAGTTTTGCAAGATGAAAGGAGTTCTGGAGATGGCTGGTCGTGATGACAGTTACGCAGCAATGTCAATGTACTTAATGCCACTGAATAGTACACTTCAAAGTGGTTAAGATGGTAAATGTTACATGTGTATTTTACCACAATAAAAAATATTAGGAAAGCTGGGCGTGGTGGCTCAAGCCTGTAATCCCAGCACTTTGGGAGGCCGAGGCGGGTGGATCACAAGGTCAAGAGATCGAGACCATCCTGGTCAACATGGTGAAACCCCGTCTCTACTAAAACTACAAAAAATTAGCTGGGCAAGGTGGCGCATGCCTGTAACCCCAGCTACTCAGGAGGCTGAGGCAGGAGAATTGCCTGAACCCATGA